TCCTTTTGTTTTGTTTTTTTTTTTCCCCTCCCACCTCCTGCCATCCCTAGAGCCAAGGTATGTGAAGAGAAGTTGCGCTATGCTGCGTATAACTGCGTGGCCATTGACACAGATATGAGTCCGTGGGAAGAGTGATGTTGCAGCCTGACCGAGCAGCATGGACAATCATTCGACAAAACCGTGCAGCGGGAAAAGCTCCCTTGTCCCCCCAGGATGTGTATATATAATAAACATATAGGTGTGATGCCTGGCTCCCAGCTGTGGTAACCAGCACCTCTTTGGACACGGAGGTTTAGGTCTTCAGCAGGGTGGGAGCTAGCTTGGAGTGTAAATGTGATTGCAATAATGAAACCCTGGCTCAGCCCTTGTACATCAGAAAGGTCTGGTAGGCTTTTGTAATGAGTTTCTTCTCCCCATGTCCCTGTTGCAGCTCCACAACTCTCACTCCTCCCAGGCTATGCTCTGCTCCAAACAGAAGTGGGGTAGGGCTGCAAAGCTGCACAGCAGGTTACAGCACAGGACAGAGAACTGTGAGCTGCTGCTGAGACTACGGGGATGCTCAGAGATGCTCACTGCATCCTAACCTGAGTGTCCTGACCATATTCCCTTGCCTTGTTCCTGCTCTCATCTGAGGTCAGTGGAAATGACATCATTCGTCTAGGTTTAAGAAGAAATGGGGCAGGCTGGTGGCAGGTGCTGTAGGGGTGCCTCTGGCCACCAGGTGTCACGACAAACCTGCACAGAAGGACCGCAGGTGCTGTCAGGAAAGGGCTCCCATGCTTTTACATCGCACAAAATCCCAGTTCCTGTGACCACCCGTGGTTCCCTGCACGTCTTGCACAGCAGCGACCGCTGGGGGAGCTGCTCCCCTACAGGAGGTGGGAACTGTCTGCTTCCCTCCCGCTCTGTAACCTTCAGTTCTGCATCCGGCATGCTGGTGGCCTAGCAGCTGTTCTCCCGGGCTCTTTGAGCCGTGGTTTTCCCCTAAAAGCCAGTATTACAACTAATCTGTTCTAGTTCTCATGGAGATGTGCGGGCAGGGCCAAGCTCTTCTCCCAGGCAGCAGAGGTTAGAGCAGTAGCAGGGACGACAGCACTGGACTCTGCTTCCTTCTGCTCTGGGGAGGTAGGTGGACACTTCAGGTGGACAGGGAAAGCCTTTGCCCCAGGGGAGTGGAGAGACTGTGGGTACAAAGGGTTGGAGCTCCTTGAGCAGATGGACATGCATGCAGTGCATGAGTGAGGAGCAGGCAATGAAAGCTTTACATCTTCAAGATCACTGGAAATGTTCCTTGATCTTCTTAGCCCTGGGCAAGGCTAGTCATTGCCTAGCACTGTAAGCTACCAGATGTTGGTCCACTTTTATACCCCCAGCTCCATCCTCAGCCTGTGTGGTCTGTTGGACTACCAGTACTAAGAGCCACTGAGTCACTGGGGCTTCACTGGGGTGGGGCTAATGCTGTGAGTTAAGATTTATCCTGTCTTAATGCTTCATGCCTTTTTCTCCTCTGTTGAAGGAGTATTTCATCCAGAAATCACTTCCAGTTGTAAACAAAGTCCTTCTCTTCACCAGTTTCCTTTGAAACTGCTGTATTCCCACGCCTGCTGAGGGGAGTTTGTACTAAAAGGGATGTAGGACCAGGAGAGAGCATGTGCTGCCATCTCCCACATTGAGGTGAGCAGAAGGATTATGGGGTGAGCAGGAAAGCCATTTCTGGCTGCCCTTGCCTGCAGCAGAGCCTTCCATGCTCAGCTGGGTAGGTGTAAAGTCCCGTCAGCTGGAGGAGTTTTGTAAATCCTAGAGTTATCTCAGAATTGAGCTCTGTGGTTTTGTGGCCGATTTCAATGACCACCATGGGCAGGAGCAGAGCTGGTGTGATACCTTTCTGTGCTGGTGGCTGAGTCACTTCCTAGGGTGTCTGTTTTAAATGGGCCTGAGTGAGCTGGTGAATGGACTTTGGTCTGCTGGCTTGGCCTCAGTCAGGAGTGTTGGTGAAGGAGTCTTCCGCATTGAGCTGGGTTTTGAAATGAGCCATCCTAGATCCTTTCTGGGCACTGACATTTGGGTGGAATCAATCCTGCTTTTTCCAACCTTGCCCGCTTGTCTCTAAGGGAGATCAGCAGGAGGTCACATTATTTACTGAGCAGAACTAGAATTAGCAAGAAAAATTGACCCCTCTCTGGTGCATTATTGCTAGGCAGGGGACAGTGGGTTGATGAGTGGCTCAGGGTGGGATGGATGAAATGGCCCTAGTCTTTGGTAGAGGGTGAGCTGATGTCATCTGTGGGAATGGGCAGGCTAAGAGCCAGCTGGGGCTGTTTGGGGTGACCAGCTGCGGGGGAGTGGGCACCTCTGGCTGAGACATCTCCAACAGGTGACCACTGGCTCCCCTGGCCTTGGTGGAAACAACTGCAGCTGACAGAGGGTAACTGAGGTAATAATGGAGGTACCTAGAGCAGCTCAGGTTTCTCACTGAGGGATGAGATGCTTGGACAGCTCTGTTCCCTCTCGTCATCCATGTACACAGTGCAGCCTTCCGTGATGAGGGAAGAGCTGCCATGCAGGGCAATGCTGAGACCAGAGCCTGGCTGAAGCAGTGGGATCCTTCCCTAGAAGCATCGTGGCGTCTCCATTGTTGGAGATGCTCAAGACTTGTCTTACAGCCCTGGGCAATCTGATCTAACTTCCAGTCTTGCCCTGCTGGCTTCAGGTCTAGGTCCTCTCTAACCTGAAGCATCTGATGATTGTGGAGTTACCAGCTCTAGCTTTTCCCACATTTCTCTACTCTTCCAGCAAGGTCTTTTAGCCCCTGACTTCTCACACCCTTGGGTTTATTTCCTGCCACTAAGAAAAGAGTGCTGCCCAAGGGCTTGCTGGAGCTCTGGTGCAAGTACTGGCGCTCTGAGGAAAGGATCTAGCTGGTGACGGGGATTTCTATTTTAAAAATACTTGTAGTAACAGGACCTTGGCCCTAGCAGGAAGGCTGCAGTTGGGAGCTCATCCAGCATGGTCTGGGTTTAACCCCTACAAGCATATTGAGAAAAGCATTGGCTTACCATATATACCATTGTTTTACTGTCCATTTTGTGTTATGGCCATATACATGTTGAAGAATGGCAGCAGCCGCTGCTGTAGTGTTACATCATGGTGTAGAGACCTGTGAAAGCCCTTCCAGTTGCAGGAAGAGCCCAATGCTGCAGTGAGGTCTCAGCTGAGATCATTTAGTGCAGAGGGTCTGGACAAATGTACTGCTGAGCAAGGACACCAAGATAACCCACAGATCATGCTGTTGAGTTTGCTGTGCAAAGGTGAGCTGGGAAGGGGGAGCTGGTAACCTGCCTGGATCTCCTCTGTGCAGTCATCTGTCTTGTCTGTGGTGTTTTAAAGCCACTTGCAAACTGAATTTCTGCTGTGACAGCCCGGCGAATTGTGGAAAAGGTCAGCCTGGCTCAGCTCTGACCAATCTCAGGGGCCTAAAGTAGGTGTTATTTCAGTGCTGGGTCACATTCCTTCTCCTCTGATCTCTCAAGCTGCGGGTAGGAGCCATCTCCTACCATGTTTGACAAGACCTAAGTCAAGTGCCCCTGCCCCAGACTCCCGCTGTGCGTGGCCGGGTTGAGGGAGCCCTCCTGGGCACCAGGAACCAGAGGCTGCATGTCCCTACCCCATTACCCAGTCTCAAGTTGGTTGAGATTGATTTTCAAGCCAGTGCCATCCTGGGGAAGGTGCTGGTGCCCCTGTGCTGCTGAGGAGGCTTCTGTGTGTGCCGGAGCTGCAGCTTTACAGGGTGTGGGCAGGGACAAGCTGGGGGAGGGACCGATGCCACAATGGCTTTGTATAATTACTCGCTCTCTCCTGACTTCAGCTTGCTGAATTGTCATAGAATAGCTTCAGGTGATTAATAACGCACGTGTAGTCTAGCTGTTCTTGTTATTCCACTAATATCCTGGAGTATGACAAGCTATAAATAGTTTGACAGGATCTGTCTGTCCCTACCTCATGTAGGACCTAAAATAAAGTGAATGAACTAACTACTCCAGCCTTCCTGATGATTTGTCTGGTCTGGCTGGGGCTCCTGCGTCCTTCTGTTGGGTTAAACAGTGATGGAGACTGGTGTCATGAGAGGCGACTGGAGGTGAAGCAGAAATCGGCCCTGTGATACCCTTTGCACACAAAGTGGTGTCGTGGAGGTAGCTCAGAGTATTAACTGGCTCAACCCTTTGCAACAGCTCTGGAACCAGTTTTAGAGGGTGACCTGGCTGTGGAGGGAGGGCATGGGACCCTCCTGACTGTGGTGGCCACAGTTAGGAGCAAGGCAGAAGCTTGCATTTCTCTTGCACCACGGTTCAGGACACTTTGCTCTTGGCGAGGCCGGTGCCCATTGCTATGGTGAGGCACAGGCATGCCTGCTCAATAGATAATGCTGCAGAGGTGACAGCTCTCTGCACTGTGCCTTTGCAGGCAGGGATGGAGCTGGACTCTGACCTGCCAGGAGAGCAGGCAGGCGCCAGAGGGGTGTGGGGACCTTTGAGCTCTGCCAGCCTGGTTGTTTCCCGACCCCTAAACGCAGCTCTGTGCCCAGGCTGGAGAAATTGAGGTAGCGCAGGGTGGAGCTGAGTTGTTCTCTGCCACCGCCTTGCCGTGGTACACGACAGGCAGATATGACATGAGGTGATGCAATGCCGGTGTTCTGGGGTGGTTGGGTGCTGCTGGGTGTCATGGCCTCGCTCCTGCTGCCAGGATGACACTGCTGCCTGGGATAAAGCTGCCGCTCCTGGGCAAGGAAGCCCATCACCCTCCCCAGGGGGTGCTTGGAGCGTCCCCACCGGCTGCAAGCCTGCGTGGGGCAGGAATATGTCTCGCAGCCAGCCAGGAGCCAGCTCGCCCCATAGCAGGATGCCTGCTCTGCTCTTTTCCCTGTCCACGCCGGAGATGTAGCCCTGTGCCCTGACCCCGCAGGGGCCCCCTCTCTGCTTGCAGGGATGCAGGCAGCGACAGGGATGTTGGGGGCCAGCAGGGAGCGGAGTCCTAAGCCGCGGGGCGAGGGGATGCAGGTGACGCGGGTCAGCTCCTGCCGGGGACCGCGGGACCGGGGTGGGCGTTCACACGGTCGCATCGTGGCAAAGGGGAGATGACGGCGGCCCCGCACCCAGCACCCCGCTGGGGAGCGGGGCCCGGGAGGGGTGAAGAAGGGCTGGGACCTGCCCGGGGAGGAGGCGGCAGCCCGGGAGCTGGGGCTGCCCGCGGCGGGGCGGCC